ACTAAGGCAAAAATGTAATTAATTCAGAAAATCTTTTCAGGACCCCACCTTGATGTTTCGCGACCCCACTTTGGGTCCCGACCCCAACTTTGGGAAACTGCTGTAAACAACCCTACTGAGAGGGGAGAAGTACTGACCTGAACTAGAGGACTGTAAATGAGAGCTGCTGCTTTGTCAGACAAATATATTTTAATTTGGAAGCCTTATTAACACGGACTGGCTTCATTCACTTCCTCCACTGCCGAATGCTAAACTAACTAGCAGACACTGCGCAGAAAATCAACGTCCTTCAAAACTCCTCCTTCTGTTTTCTGATCCCAGGTAAAATAAACTACAAGCAGACACTGTACAGAAAATCGATATTGTGTTCTCTAATTGGCCCGGATGAAAAGAAATCCTTCTCTATGGGAGAAATCCCAGACGGGGCAGTGAAGGGAAACTAGAATTGAGCGGAGCTGTGTAGGAAGGCAAGGGCCAGGCTAGACCATCACTGCGTGTCGTCCATAGGGGGAGTCAGAGGTACTCTCAGCGGTGGGCACAGCTAATCAAAAAGTTAGTTTCAGTAACACATAACATTCTAACGAAAAATACAGCTTTGCTAATGCTAAACATGTTAAAATTAGCAGAATCTAGCACAAACAGCTAATCGCTAACCACTAAGAAGACTGTCACTCAGACTGACACTCGTGGTCTATGTTGGCCACCCATGCAGACTGCATAAATGGCTGTGAAATGAGACAGTCTAGTCTATGGATGATGTATGTTTACGATCACAAGCTTCCCTGTTACCATTTGTCGACTACATGCGTCAGGGGCCTACAAATTGAAGCTGCCTCAGCGTTGTTTATGTAGATGGAGGGATCCTAGCCTCCAGGCTGTCTCCTGAAGCCCACTATCATCTCCCAAGTTCAGTAAGAGGTCACTTTCCTGACACCAGTTGGTCATTGATTTCACCTCATCTCTGTCTTCACGCTCCTCGTTGTCGGTGATGAGGCCCAAAGATGGTGGTGTCATCAGCAAACTTGAAGATGAGCTGTGCCTGGTGGTCCAGTCGTGCGTGAAGTGGGTGAACAGAAGTGTATATTATCGCACAGAACCCAACAACGCAGGTGACCTGAATGCTTCCAGAACACCTCAGCAGAGCCACAGGCTGATCACCCCCGTGCTACGCCGCATTCATGCAGAAATTCATTCCCAAGGGGGGATTCATTTTTTCACATGACTGATTTGAGTTTGTTCCCATGTTTTTGATTTAAGACTTGGATAATACATGACAGTGGGATTTACAAAAAAAAAAAAAAAAAACATCAAAACTAAAGTTTCTGCAAATAAAATAAAACTGTGCACACATTCATTTGCCCAGAAATATATTTCAACAACTTTATTATAATATTCCAGAGATCAGACAGGTTGGTAACTGGCTTTTCAGTTTTCACAGTGAAACTTCAGTAAAAATGTTTCTGTTTATTTGGGTTGTTTTAATGACAGTCCGTGCTTACGTTTGTGCATAATTCTCTATATTCATCACGAATTTGCTGCACCTCCATAAGCACTGATTTTCTCTGGTTTTAGACCTGCCTTTTTTCACTGCGGGTCCCTGGAGCCCCGTTCCCCCTGCGTCCATCTGTTTCCCCACGTGTCTGCGTGTGGCCCAAACTACAGAGGGAGGTGAAAGGACGGTCAGAGGCCTTTCAAAGGCATCTGAGTAATTTCACCTCCAGAAAAATCCCACCAAAAAGGCTTCTTTCCTCCACCTGCTCCTTCTCCCTGCCCCTCTCTTCATCTTATACCTTTCTCCCTCCTCTGTTTGTCCCACGTTCCTGTCTCGCTCCTTCGTTCTCTTTCCACCCACACCCCACACACACACCCCTCTCGTCCATACCTCAGGCACACCTGGCTGACTGCTGAGGGCTGACACTTTAAAGACACTGGCTTCAGCTTCTGCTGCACGTAGAATATCAATATCTGCTGCGAACACGCTCACATTCAGAGCGCTCCATCTTTCGCGCGGAGCAGCGCACATGAAGGTGCACAAAAATCCTCAAACAGCCCTTCCACTCTCCACACAGCACCCACTAACCCACTGACTCTATCAGAGAAGACAGATCCACACTTGTTTTTTTTCCCCTGTTTCTTTAAACATGTTTTGCATGTGTTGACTATATCAGAAGAATTTTAAGCAGCTAACAGAAAGCCCCTTAAGACCTCACCCCAGCTCAGATACGTGTGTTTATTTTTATACAGTAATACACCGGCCCCATATACTACTCAAGCCTCGCTGCCTTGCTCTTTGTTGATTTATGTGTGGACGTCTCTCTCTGTCAAATCCGTGAGGATCTCACCTGGGAGCAATTTGCCTCAGCAGGCCGACTAAGAGAGGTGATTCCCACTGTCTGCTTCGATTCTTTCTGATGGTCTGAGCAAATACCTGTTTTAAGTTAGAAGCTATAAATACACTTTTAAAACCCTTCTTCAATCGATTTTCCAGCGAGCCAGTGGCTTCATTTCTTTTATATATATTTTTTTAAAGAAGTATTTTCTCTGCCTCGAAACAGCTTACAAAGAGCGGGGCGGTTTATGGATCAAGTTCAACTGACCCGAGGGCTCAAGGGACAAAATCTGTTTTTTTCTTTTCTTTTTTTTTTTTCCTCCGCTCTCTTGAAAGTTTGCATAACGTTGCCCTGACACCTAGTGGATGCAAACTAATGACCTGAGCGGTCAGAAAAAATCAGCTTGCATTTAAGGACTACCACTTTGAACGCAGCAGCTGTGAAACGAAGCATCTGTAAATCTGCGGAGCGCTTTGTGACAACAGTTTTTTTCCAACATATTACTCCTTTTAACAAAGAAAATATTTAAACAGGTCTGAGTTTGATTAGTCCACTGGTTACTTAGTTAAATTCAAACCAGACAATTTGGGAAAACAGACAATCTGAGAACTTCAATTGTCGTGCGAACGAGCAAAAAAAATAATTAGGGTTCCTTGAAGGAATACATCACCTGCTGCTTTCATGCCAGAGATTTAGGCTAAAATCAATCTGAAAGTAATTTTCTAAAAATAAGATGGGGGAAAGCTTCAGCATGATTTTACTTGCACTGAACATTTACCACATATTTTTTCATGATTTCTTTGTTTGTCCAGTTGGGGGGAAAAAAATGAATTTAGCAGAGTCACTGCAGGTTATAGCAGATATCTGACAGTCAACTCCAGCTCATGGAAACTTTTTGAGTTGTATAAAGTGCATGGACACCTTCTTTTGTTGTATTTCCAGGAGTTTAGCTCGTTAAAGCTTGTGTTAGTGCCTGTGATCAATAGATGAATCATCTTGAAGTGAACTCACAGTTTTATTAAGTGTGAATAATCAAAACAACCTGTCAGGATCTGTGTTTTATTTTTATTTTATTTGGAGCTTCCTGCTAGCTTTTTGTGTTTATTGTTTATTTATTGATTCATTTTTGCTTTTTTTTTTGTTTCTATTTGGACAAAGAGCCGAGGTCGTAAAGGTGCAGGACCTCAAGTACTTAGGGTCAACTGTCCAAGAAAACAGGGAGCGTGGTAAAGAGGTGAAGAAAAGAGACCAGACAGAATGAAGTGGATGGAAAAATGGAAAAATTTTAGAAATGATTTGTAACTAATGTCAAATGAAAAGTTTACAAGAGAGTAAAGAGACCAGCTATGGTTTGGAGACTTGAGGCCCTGACCAGAACTGGAAGTGTCAGAGCTGAAGATGATGAGTTTGTCCTTGCTAGTGAGAAGAATGAAGATGAAGACTGAGATCATCAGAAGTACAGCACAGGTTGAAGTACATGTCATTAAGTCTATTTAAGTATAGTAACATATATTTTCCAAAGTGTAATTTTACTTACCAAGTTTACTTTTTAAATGGGTCAATGTTGGCTAAATTGTGATTTAAAATATTATGGATCTGCTGCTTGTTTGTCAGTTCTTGTGTCTTGATTTATCCAACAGCCAAGTATAGGTAACAAATTAATAATAAAGTGTATATTTGATAAGTACACAACAAGTAAACTGAAGTATACTTTCTTATTTTTAATTTAAAATTAATATACTTAAAGGGCACTTTGATGAGGGAAAGTTAAAGGCCAGACTGAGATGGTTTGGACATGTCAAGAGGAGGGTCAATGGGTATATCACTAAAAGGATGTTAAAGATGCAGCTGCCAGGAAAAAAAGACAAAAGGGATATTTAAGGATACAGTTTAAGGACACAGACGGAGTTGGAGTGAGGACAGAAAATTCAGGGGGACAGTGAGTTGGCACAGCTAATTATAACCTTCACTGACCACCAATCCGCTAACAAAAAAAAGAGCTTTGCTAATGCTAAACAACTAAACAGGTAAGAAAATTAGCGAACTAATTAACTGCTAACTCAAGGTCAGTCATTTAAACAAAGACGTGTGGTATCCACACAAATGTTTTTTTTTTCAGTTTTGTTAGCAGATTAAAGTTAGCAAAACTAAATTTAGCCAACGCTAATTGGTTCACTAATGATTTCCAAAGTTAGTGAAAAAAAGCTAATTTGCTGAACAAAAGGTTAGCTTTGCTGTTAGCAGATACGCAGAACTGTGTCTACCGCTGTGGAAACATTTACTGGTGACCCCTCAAGAGTGAACAGCTGAAATAAGAACATTTGTTTCTTATTTTATTTTTTCTGTACCTTTCATTATTTTCCCTGTGGCACTAGTTCATTTCTCCTTACTGCTCCTTCAGCTGCTGCCCCGCCCACTCTCACCTGTCCGTATGTTGTCATCATGTCAGGTGTTTCCACTCCGCTCGTCAGCTGCTGTTCATCTAATCCACCAGTTTTCACTCCACCTTCAGCCTGGCATTGGGAGTGTTTCATACCATGTCCGACATGTAAATGTTTGCTTTTTAGTTTCCTTTATTAAAATCTTTATGTTTTCATTGGAGCTCCTTGAATTTTCTCTGCATTCGGGTCCAGTGCCTATAAACCATGACACAGTTTGTTTCTCTAAAATAAGTCAACCTTAAAAAGCCAGAGCTACAAATGCTTACACCTCAGCTTTAAGCATTTGTAAGAATTTACAAGTCATGGTGTGTCTCAAAGTTTGTTGCACAAGTCGCAGGAGTTCAGGCAGCTCTGACTGACTGCTCAGGAAGTAAAGCTCGTTGGCTCCGTGACGCTCAGCGAGCCTAGCCAAGCACAGAATCAGTGCCCCAGCACCAGGGAAAGCTACATAAACAGATATGACAGAGTGACAATCCAATGCACAGTTTGAAGTTCACAACTGAGGCAAAGTGAGGCAAATTGAAGAGATGTCCTGTGAGGCGTGAGAAGCTGCCGGTGGCTATTATCATTTTAACAACAAGGGTTGGTCTGCAGAACTTCAGTGGATGCGCATTAAAACACCTTTATTAGACGCTGACTTTTTTATTTTCTATTTTTGGTCAAGGTTTAAAATTTTTCATATTTGCCTATTGGAAAAACGACAAAAAAACACAAAAAATGTAACAAAGCATTTGTCTTGATTTGCATTAGTGAGCTTTGACGTTTGGTCACAGTACAGTGGTTGTGAATGAAATTTGCAAATGTAATAAAAGGAAATTTCCACACACATGACAAATGGATTTTGGCAAAATGAGTGAGAAAGCTCAGCCTGTTTTGAAGGTCTTACAGCTCAAAATACTTTACAGCAGAACATTGAAACACCTCGTGGAAAATTTGACTTTGCATGACTGACATGACAATTACTTTTTTTTTCACAGTTTTTAAATCATCAAATGTCCTGAGCCATCTCAGTGATCCAGGTAGGAAAAAAATGTTGTCCTCTGGACTCACCTTCTCCCCTTCAAGAGACTTCTTCAGTCTGAGGAGTTTCAGGTAAACTCAGCCTTATATGCAGTGACTCCACTTAGTGGACAAACAAGCTTAACAA